CTTCATAACTCATAAATTATTTTGTGCCATTTCATTCTTGACTAGACCCCTTGTTCATCTCTCTACTGCTTGCCTTACCTCATTGCCAGTCCAGCCTCTGCAAAACCCCACTGAACCATGAGCATAGTGGACATTCTCTGTGTTGTGTCCTGAGCTTACCCGACCCTGGTCCTTATCATGCAGCAGTCTCATTACTTGTTCCCAAGTATCCACCTACCAGACTACAAGCCCCCATGCAAGTATTGACTCTATCCTATTCACCACTGAGTCTCCAAGAGCCTAGCTCAGTACCAGGTGAGCACGCAATATTGAACAAACGTTGCTTGAATGGATGCCTGAAGTATAAGGGAGCTGTTGCCACTCTGGGGCGGGGTCCCTGGAACACACTCTGTTGTGGGAACCTGCGTGCAGGTGTGTGGAGGAGTCAACGAAGTGGGAGTGGGGAGAAGGAGTTGATCTGCGAAGCTAGGCCTTCTCAAGATGGGCTGTCCCTAACTGATTCAAAGGGCCAACCCTTTGTCCCCAGGAGAGACTAGTTTTCACCATGTCCCAGAGAAGAAGGGCTGTGGATCCCTTTAAACAAGCATAATTCCGGGTTAAGGACTGAACTGTGAGCCCTCGGAGTCTGTCTGTCTGCCCTGTCAGCTGTGGCAAGGCTGCCAGCCTTTCCCACCGTGGGAAAGCTGAATGATGTTCTACAGCTGAGACCGGCGTGCCTCTGCAAGTGTTTCCTGGTCCCCAGTCTATCTAATTGCAAGTGTCACCATCCACGAGCTGGTGGAGTTAGCATCAGCACTGCCCCGTCCCATTCACTCCGGCCCTCCTGCAGCGCAGAACACCCACTGTGTGCTGGGCACTATTCTATGTAGCGGGGAGGGTAGGGACTCTACAACACATGAAACAAATGTCTTGACGGCCAGGAGCTTCAAAATAGTGAGGCAGAAGACGCCATGGGAGAAAACAAACCAGGAGAGGCTGTGGCAGTGAACAGAATGGTCCGGCATGGCCTCACTTAGAAAGGGACCTTTGACAAAATCCTTTGGAAATCTTAAGGCAGACCAAAAAGAGCATGTGCAAGGGGCCTGGGGTAGATGCAAACCTGGATGCTAGAGAGGGAGAAGGCCAGCAGGGCTGGGAAGGAGGGCCAGGGGGAGTCTGGGAGAGGAGAGGTCAGAGAGAAACACGGGGCAGAGGCTCGGGGCATTGCAGGGGTCAGTCAGCAAGTATGGCTCCTCAGATTCCAGGGAGTGCAGAGAGGAAGACAAGTCAGTGCCAAAGCGTGTGTGTGGGTTGAAGGAGATCTCGCTTCTGTGGGAGCTAAAGCTTATCCGGCCTGGAAAAGACCACTTCAAGGAGAAAAACACATTATAACTAGAAGATTAGGGACCCAAGTGAATACTTGATTATCATCAAGAAAGAAGAGGCAGGAGCAAAGGGCACCCCTGGACTTAGGTCCCCGTGCTGAGACCCTCCTAGACCCAGGGAGATGGTTGTCAAGACGCATGGAGATCGTCAAGAAACACTGGGCTCACAAATATGAAAAAGAGACAAGGTCCCCCGCCTCATGCTGACACAGGAAGAGCACCTTTCCCTGGAGCCGATTCCCTGAATTGTCCTCCAAGACCCTCCTAAGAGGTCCTAAGCTCCCTGCAAGGCCAGCAGTTTGAAACCACCAGCTGCCCCGAGGAAGAAAGACAGTTCTTTCTACTCCTGTAAAGGTCCAATCTCGGAAACTGGCCGAGGCAGTTCTACCTTGTCTTATAGGACTGTGGTGAGTCAGCATTAACTGGATGGCAGAGACTGAGAGTGGAGAAGCCTCCTGAACTAGGAGAGAATCTGTCAACTACAGCAACAAAAGTGGATACTTATTTAGAATAAAAATTCACAGCAACCACAATATTTTTTTTCTTCACAACCACACATTTTTAAAAAATGACAAAGACTCCAGGCCTCACACAGGCGAAGATCCCTCCATGACCTAGAACGGAGCTTGTGCAAAAGTCCTGAGGCTTAAACGTCATGAGCTTCTTGATAAGCTTCAAGTGAAATCCCTGAGATAATTTTATGTTTAACTTGAAGATGTCAAAGTGTCGTGGTGGAGTCCACCCTGTCAATCAAGTCTCAGTCTGATGACTCCTTAACGGTATGAGTGCGAGACACTGGGAACTGATTGAATCTGCTGACTGGCCACTCTCTGAGGGGCCCTGTCACGTTTCCACCAACCTTGGATCCATGTGACTTTACACCCACCAGCCTGTGATCTTCCTGCTATGTCACTGCATGTGGCTGGGTAAATCTACAGAGGGATTTATGGACTAGTATCAGACTATGGACTTAAGTCGGACTGGGCTGGGATGCTTTCTTGATAATTACTTCTTGATATTAAGCTCTTTCTTATACATGTATGAATGTTACTGGATTTTTTTCTATATTAAGCTCTTTCTTATACATGTATGAATGTTACTGGATTTTTTTCTTTAGTCAACCTGGCCTCCCACAAGACTCCTCTTGATACCTGATCAACTTGGAAAGGTAATAGCTGAGACTTGAAAGAGTCTAGGAAAAGGGGGTTGTTCCTCTCTCCTACACATGATGAGCTTATGGCAAGAACTCATGTCCTGTCAATTCTCTTGTTAGAATTCTGAAGTGAAACCATTTTGACCTGAATACAGGTTGATTTTTTTTCTCAGTGACTAACCCTGATTGGGCTGATTGGATTAACAATGATGACCAGCTTCCAACTGAGTTACATTGCGGCTATTTCTCAATGGTTAGTGAGTGAAGTCACAGGAGTGAAAGCACGCAGGTATCAAGGGGTAAGCACTGGGAAAAAGACAAGACACTGCCTGCTCTGCTCCCTCAAAGATTTACAGTCTCCAAAACCCTAGATAAGGTCACTAGGAGTTGGAATCTAGTTGATGGCAGTGGCTTTGGGTGGATGTAATGGGTTAAATCAGCTGTTCCAAAGTGCCCTTGACAATCATGATATATTACATATTTATTTATTTTCAAACTAATGGCCTTACATTATTGTTAACCTTTCCATGTGGAAGCATAAAAACCAAGGAAGAAACCAAGTATTTGCAAATATAAGTTCAACTGATCAGATGGTGACAAAGTCTTAAACAAGTATGACAGATCACTAGTGAGCCTGGTTCAGTGCGGCCGTGGGTGCCATCCCTTGGGGTGGGGGCACCTTACAGACCCAGCTCGGTTCTTTTCCAATGTCTTCTCTTGGAGTTGTACCTGATCTTATTACCGATTTTCATTAAAAATCATTGGGGGAATAGGGTGATTCCGTGTTTGCTTCTTGATCCTGAAAATCTTTCGACACTGTGAAGACAGAAAGCCTTCACACTCGGGATGGTGGAGAAACAGAGACTAGATGTCAGATTTTAAGGGGATCAATTTTTCAGCATCAATTTAGAAGGCTTTGAGCCAAAGTTTTGGAAAAATCACTATTGCAGAGGCTTATAAAGGTTATGAGCACTACTGCACAGTTGTAAGGTTATGAGCAGAGAAACGAGTCTATGCATAGCAATCACCCGGATATGGCTGAAATGAAAATTCCCATTCAGTAGAAAGGCAGCAAAAAAGAGGATGCCCCTCAACAAGATGGACTGACACGGTGGCTGCAATGATGGGTTCCAAGAGATCAACAAGAACCAGGCACATTCTGCTATCTGCTTTCCAAAGATGGCATCGACTCAACAATCCCTAACAAAAGCAGCAGCAGCAGGTCTGAGCTGGGGCCTGAGTTTTCCTGGTGATGCAGACGCTGTGGGCAGAGGGCCACACTTGGAGCAGCAATGGAGACTGGATGGGGGAGGAATATGGAGGAAGCCAGTGGTCCCTGGTTGGTGCACACTAGCTATGTGCTTATTTGCTAAATAAAAGGTTAAGTGCTGGTCCACCCAGAAGAGCTTCAAAAGAAAAATTTGGCTATCAACATCCGGCAGTCATTAAAACCCCCAGGGAACACCATTCTTTGAAGTGTCAGTTTACCAGCAAGGTAAGCAAGGGCTTATTTATGCTTACTTACTAATCAGCTTCGAGGCATGGCTGGCATCTGTTTTTATCCCAACCCTACAGCACCTTCCTACAGAATCTAAACCTCTTTTCCAATGGAGACTCCCCAAGAGGGGTGGAGCAAAGGAAGTCCCAGCTGTTTCTCATGGTGTTCCTAGAACATCAAAGACTAGGCTGGTGGCAGTGGAAGAGGAGAAAAGCAAATGATCCCTCAGGACCAGTGGTGAGACTGAGATACCGGGAGGGTGGAGGAAAGGTGGGGTAGAAAGGGGGAACCGATCACAAGGATCTACATATAACCCCCTCCATGGGGGACGACAACAGAAAAATTGGTGAAGGGATACTTCGGGCAGTGTGTAAGACATGACAAAATAATAGTAACTTATAAATTATCAAGGGTGAGAGCGGGAGGGGGGGAAATGAGTTGATACCAAGGGCTCAAGTAGAAAGAAAATGTTTTGAGAATGATGATGGCAACAAATGTACAAATGTGCTGACACAATGGATGTATGTATGGATTATGGTAAGAATTGTACGAGCCCCCCATAAAATGATGTTTTTTTTAAAGTGCTGAAAAACGGCTTATACTCGAGCATATATGCTTTGAAGACCCGAGAAAGGAGCAAGCACAGTAACAAAAGGTTTGTGAGCTGACTTACAACTTCAGCAAATATGAACAGGTATAGTTTATGAACTAGCATATCGATATATGGGCTTCAAAAAGTTTGTGGATAAATGCTATAATCTTAAAAAAACTGTTTAATCTATTAAAAGATCATTTTATTGGGGGCTCTTCCAGCTCTTATAACAATCCATACGTCAATTGTATCAAACATGTTTGTACATGTCGCCATCATTATGTTCTGAACATGCACTTCCTATCCGAGCCCTTGGTATCAGATCTTTTTTCCCTCCCGTGCCCCCCCCCCACCCCGCTGCTGATTTTTTAAATCGTTTTTTTCCATGAACTTTTGGAAGCCTCCTTGTATTCTGACTTCATGCTATTCTATAAACAAAAATTGGGTTCAAATTTGCATCTGTTAGAACTGAAAAGGAATACTGTGGTAAAAAATGAGTTCAAAGAGAGTCTGTTTCTTCTTTACCTGGGTTGTCAGGAAGCACAGAGATCTTAAGAGGCAGAGAGGATCGTCTAGTGCACACAGTGCAGTACTCCGTTTATAAGGCTCTGTGGGGCACAAAATAAGTAAATATTAAGGAGAAAGACAATTTATTTCACTGCATTTTGGCAAACAAAGACTACTGATCATTACAGAGTATTCCGAAGAACCATTTTAGTTAGCTACTAAAAATCTAGCAAGATGCTTTGTGCTGTGCCCCCAAGAACCTCATTTGTTATGCATTTCTTTGATAGCCTATTAACAGCACACTCAGGGATTAATTGCAGAGTCAGAAGTAGACCCTTCTCTCCCTATGTGCCAATAATAACTGCGCTACAAGTTAATAAATAAAGACGACAAAGAAACTCGCTGCACTTACACTGAGGTGCTGACAGAGCATGGCGAGACCAGGGACTGTGAGAAGAACGAACAGGTGCTCAGCCAGCATTCTCCTTAGAAGGGAGAATGGTGAGATTCCGTCCTGCTTCCACTGGACGTATGAGGGACCAATTCGCAGAGGGCATCATGTTCAGTCCAGGGTCAATGAAAAAGACGACAATGAGAGGGATTGAGCCCGTGGTCGCAACAATGTGTGCTGAGGACGGGGCAGCACCGGTTGGAACCTACTCAACTGAATTATTTCGGAGGGCCTTAAGAAAAACCAAACATGATGTCATGCTTGCGGCAATCCGAAAGGCAGGGAGGCCAACCGTGATGCTCAGAAAACTGGACCCACCTGCTACGAATGATGACCCAGCCTTTCAGTGGCCTCAGGGAGAAAGGGATTTCTTGTAGCTGTTTCAAATCATCAAGAACACAGGAACAGTGCTGTTGTGTTCAAGGGCAAGCCCAGTCCTACAATGATGCAGAGCACTTGAGAATGGCATTTTCTTATCATCCGCCCTGCTCTCACTGAGGAGCAAATTGAATGAGTCTATTAACAAGAATGTGAGAGACCTGAAACCTTTTTACTGTTAGGGACAGCAGGCTGGGAGTTGGGGACTTCAGCTGGGGTTTCAAGTGCAGAGAATTAATGTTTAGGAGGACTCGCTTTTCCTATTGGGAAACAACAAAAAAGGCACATGCCACTTGCATAAAACCAGTCTCAAAAAACAAACAGAACCCCCCAACAAACAAAAAAAAAACCAATCTCGTTTCAGTAGAAAACAGACAAGGAAAGACGTCATCTTCTCCACAGGGCTCAGAGAAAGACTCATCGGCTGAGGGGACTAAGGGAGATACCGCGAGTCAGTCGGTCGCTCCCCTGTCTCAGGAAAAAGGGCTAGTTGTGTCAGCTGACTTGGGGGGTGGTGGGAGGATTGTCTGAGCTGTCGCTAACAGAGTAAAAGCACCCCAGTTGGAAGTGGGTAAAAGAATGGGCTTTAGAGGTTTTGAGTTTTTTCCCAAATGACTTTTCTTCCAATGGAAATGTTAGGTGCCATTAAGTCAGTTCCAGCCTATAGCGACCCTATGCACCACAGACTGCAACGCTACCCAGCCTCGTGCCATCGACACTATTCCCATGCTTGAGTACACTGCTGCAAAGACAACTCAAAGGTGCACCTTGGCCATACCTCTTCCGAGAGAGAGCTGTTTGTCCTTATGACCGCCTATGGTCCTTCTAATGTCCTTCTCCAGCACAATTCAAACGCATCGATTGTTCTTTGGTCTTCTTTAAAGCAATGGAAATGACAACTCCGCTCACTGCCATTAAATCGAGGCTGGCTCATGACAGCCCTGTGGGTGAGGGTAGAACTGCCCCAGTGAGTTTCCAAGACGGTAACTGTTGACGGGAATAGAAAGCCTCTTCTTTCTCCCTTGGCTCCCTAGGTAAACTTTCCCAACTCGTGGACAGGGCTGTGTCCTCTCCCGCTCAACCTGTTTTAGTTTTCCCTCTTAGAGGTTAGTCTTCGTCTGCACTCGGCATTAACTCCACTGCTTTCCTTGTACTTGTTCTGATGATCCCAACAGTAATCAGTGAGGAAGCTGAGGCGTCAATGCTTTTGTCTGTATAGATGGATTTCCTTCTCAAAGGCTGGACAACGAAAATGTCAGGCCAAGGCCACCTTCACGGGCATTGTGAGACTGAAAGTACATTTCAAGTTCTGACTGGAACACTCTGGACTTCAATGAGACTAGAGTGACATCAACTACCTAAGTCACTAATTCAATTGTTATATGAAGCCCTTGCTCGCCCCAAGCAAAATCCCCACACCAACCTTAAAATATTCACTTATGAAAACATTCCCAAAAAAAAAAAAAAAGAAAACATTCCCTTCTGCCAGGTTACAAGTTTGAATAATAATATATAAAAAAAGTAGGAAAGCAAGCAATGGAATAAAACCAGAACAGAGATATTAGAAGGATGAAAACGAAAGCACATGACAAAATGTATGGGCTACAGCAAACACCTCCAAACTCACTGCTGTTGCTTTTACTCACAGCGACCGTGTGGGGCAGAGTGGAACCGTGCGTTTCTGAGACTGACAATCTTTGCACCAGGAGGTATAGCCTCCTTAGAACCTACCAACCTTCCTTGAGGCTTCCTCATGCCCCATGACCCCAGTGACGCCTCTTACTTCAGACTCCAGGTGTAGATGAGAGCTCACGACACACGCAACCCAGGTGCAGGAATGGGAAGAGAGATACCAGATGGGAAGGGAGAACTGGGGTGAGGGGAAGAAGGGGAAACCGATCATAATGATCGCCAGGTGGAAGAACGGAAACCATGGGGTGGGGGGAGGAGACGACACACAGTGGTCGATATGAGATAGGAAGACAATAGTTTATAATCTATCAAGGAGTCGCGAGGGTGTGTGGGAGAGAGGAGCTGATACCAAGGACTCGATAAAAAGTAACTGTCTAGAAAAGATGGCAAATGCCTGATACAACTGATGTATGGATTGTAATAAGCATTGTAAGAGCCATCAATAAAATGACCCCCCAAATTAAATAAATTATGCACACTGGTGTTTCTGGAACTTTGGGCAACAAGCAAGTATTTACTCACCAATAAAAATAAGAAAGAACCATCAAGCACAAGTGTGATCCAAAGGAAGACGTTCAGCTCGGGACACAGCTCTGAAGGCAGGGATGGAGAAGGAAAGGGTGAGCAGGATGAGCGGGTACACCGCAGAGATGCCATCAAGGCCACCAATCAAAGTGGGTCGTGAATGCACAAGGGAGAACCATCTACTGTCACCTTTCACCCACACCACAAAGTGACAGAAGAACAAGTTCCCTCAACTATACCGTTTTGCAACCAAGTAGGGAATAAGGACTATCCTGAGGACATCAGAACCCCCAAATTCTTAGATCAGATTAAGTGGGCTTTGGAGACAAGGTTGCCCACCTGAGGCGGTGGCACCTAAATAAACAAGAGCAATAACAAGACACGCTCGGAGTAGAAGGACTGCAACTGGAAACTCGATGTCTACAAATGGCAAAAAGCATCTGACAAAACAGAAGTCCTGCAAAACATACGTGGGACAAATGGGGAAATACGAACAAGATACACTATTTTCCTAAACTAGCCTGGAACATATTCCAGAGACAGAAATGGAAAGTTCCAATGATGAGAAATCTTACCATTGTACTTGGATGTTTTGTTTTCAAAAGCGTATTAGCCCATAGTACATAAATATCAGTTTTTCTATTTATATTCCAAAGACCTTTTGCTATGGCTGTTTAACCACAAGGCTACATGCTGGGTAAACTAGTCCTTCAAAGTGTATTAAACTGAAAATGCAGGACAGGGCAGGCTGTGGATACTGAGCTATTATTTGGGTTGTTCATTGCTTTATTTAATTAAATCTAATAATGGCAGTAAGATATACCATCAATTAGTGAAAAAACACTGGCAACTCTTAAGATAGTCCTGCAAAGTGCAATAATCCACAATAGCAGCCTCTTCCTTTTTGAGATTCAACTTGTTCAGACATATTTAATGTCTTTCTGAATAAAATTAATTTCCTTATGGGGTAGGCACTTTGGGGCACGTGTTTTGTAGGCACCCTCTTTGCTGAGGCCCCATGAAAACCTTGGTTGTTGCTTTGTAGGAAAAATAAGTAATTGTGGCTATCCTCCACAATGAAACCTTTGCTTCCTCCATAGCAAATTCGTTCATATGGTTTTTCGTCTACAGTAAAACCAGACACCATTTGGGAGATGACTGTAAACGGCAGCACTCATCTTCCTGGTGGGAGTCTTGGTTTTGATTTCCAGCCAATCCACCTTTACCAGCTGGGGACAAATACTAGTTTTAAAAATAAGGGGAATAAGATTTGGGGGGCAAAAAAAGTCAAGTGACTTGTCACTTTCCAGACCTAATGAACATCTTTCTCAACTAGGACTCCCATCTACTCACTATGGAAAGGAAATTCCAACTCCGTCACATGTTGCCAACTTTGTCTATGCCAACATCTAAAACGGCCAGCTGTTGGTATGCTTTGCTGCCAAACACACGGAGAAGGCTCCAAATGAGTAACACACAGCTAAGCGAGAAATTCCCAACCCGTGGTCTTTTATACACGTGTGCCGTATCTTCTTTGTTTGGTACTCACAAAAAAGAATCTTTCTGGAAGGAACTGAAGGTTTCCAAGATTCACTTTACTCAACAGGCTTATTTTTGAATGGTTTCCCTTAAATGTACAGTTAAGCCTTGTAAATGAGGGCGTGATTTTTCTGTTACCCGTAATTACGTCCGTCCCTGAAATAAACATGTACTAAACAAGGCATCACACCTAGTGAATCTGCTCCAGGAGCCCTCTTTAAAATGTTGAAAATCCGGGTGTTACTTTTGAGGACTAATGTGGGTCTGACCCAATCCATGTTTTCAATTGCCTCACCCGTGTGGAATTGGACACGGAATAAGGAGGAATAAAGACAAAAATGGATGCATCTGAACGAGGCTGCTGGCAAAGAATATTGAAAAGTACCAGCAATTGCCAAGAGCGAACGTGTTTTGGAATACATGCAGAATACTTAAGAGGCAAGGATGGCAAGACTTCTTCACCAAAAACACTTTGGACAGGTTTGTCGCCAGGAGAGACCAGTCCCTGGAGAAGAGCATCATGTTTGGTGGAGTGACAGCAAAAGACGAATGCCCTCACGGAAGGTTGGCACCATGGCTCTGGCAACGGGCTCCAGCACACGAACAATCGGGAGGATGGCAAATGATGACTGGGCAGCGTTCCCTTGTGCTGTACATGGGGTTGCTGCTGGGTTGGAACCAACTCCACAGCGTCTAACAGTGGTCCTCAACCTTCCTGATGCTAGGACCCTTTCATACAGTTCATATTGTGGCGACCCCCCAACCATAACATTATTTTTGTTACTACGTCATAACTGTCACTTTGATATTGATGTGAATCGGGCGACTCCTGTGAAAAGGTCACTTGACCCCCAAAGGGGTGGCGACCCACAGGTTGAGAACCATTGGTCGAACCATTTAACAGAGATAAAGCACCAAGTTGTCAATCAATTTGAATTCAAAGTAAGTCTAGCTCCCAAACAAAAAACCTTGGCTTCCTGAAACATCTACAAACCTTCAGTCCTGAGGTGGGAAGGGAAGGGTGAATGTTACACACAGCCCACTATTGGAAACAGATGGCTCTAGGAATACGGGACTAAATATCTCGGTTTCTTATTCAACCAGAGCCAACAATCTGGACCTAGACTCTTGGTCTCAATTTGAGGGGAGTGGGAAACAAACCCCCCTTTAAAAAACACTTTAGCTGGTACAGATGCAGTAATAAGCTCAAACCTGAAATCATAAATGCTTTAGCAGAAGCCTCTGATAAGTCATTTCTAATACTCCTTGAATGTTTACATTCCCATTTGTTGTAGAAAAAACGGAACACAGGGTTATCCCATGTCATTGTTAGCTGACTTGCCTGGCCCCATAGCATTTCTAGGGCCAGCTGC